GGCTCCTTTCGCCCTGCTCTGCTTCCCAACCCCTCTCTTTTGCCAAAGCCACTTGTGTCTATGGAGCTTTGCAGCTTGCTGGACAAATCCCGAGCTCCCCATTGCTGCCAGGGGTATCGCCAAGTGTAAGTGACTGGAGTCAGAGTGAACAGCACAGTGAAGGGGAAGCTGCAGCCAGTGTGGAGAACTCCCTGGGCTCTGCTCTGCGCTCACAGCTTTGCTGTATGAGAGCTTGGAGCCCTGCGTGGAGTGTTTCCAAAGTCCAAAACAAACTTTCCTAAGTGCATTCTCAGTTCTTTTTGGCTTGCACTCCCTCCTCTGCTTCCGATTAAAGATTACTACTGGTTTGGGCTGTTTGAAATTCATCTCTTTGACACGCCCCCCCTCCTCCCCCCCGAAGATTAGAACTGAAAACAGACAAGTTCTTCTTAGTTGAACTTGAGTAGGGGTAAAAGAGGTGACCCTCAGGCAGCTACTCTAATGTTCCATTAGTGAGAATAGCCACTGCGAGACTGGAAGAGGAGGGAGAAGCCCTCTGTAACATTACCCTCAGCTCCAAGCTCTTTTCCTGGCAATGGGAATTGCTCAGTTAAATACAAAGGCACCATGGTGATGTACACGTGGAGCCAGGGCACCCAATCCCAAAGCCTCCGAAGTGTGAATTCTCTCTTCGGCTTAAAGCTGAGACTTGCCCAGACCTTTTGTTCACTGTGTGTAATTTTGCCTCTTCTGTCCCAGCTGCTACAGCCGGCTCACTCCTGCCATTCCCTGCGCTGGCAGCTGGGAGCAGCGTCCTGCCTCATCCCTTGACGAGCAGGGGCCTCTAGTGGAGGAAACTCAGGCATCAGTTCAACCCCTGGCTTTTATTTTTTCGGTCATGCTGGTCTAAGGAAGCAAAGCAAAGCAAAGGATAGGATATAGGAGGACAGACTAGAAGAGAATTAGGAATAGAATGGAATGGAGAATAGAGTAGAATGGAATGAAGAATAGAGTAGCATAGAGAATGGAGAACAGAAAGTAGAGTTCTTTCCTAATGAAGTAATTCAAGTGTTTTCATTCACTACCCACCATCTTTAACACACTTAGGCTACATGGCTGAAGGGTAACAGGCTTTTCCCCTCATTCCCCAGGCAGAGGTTTATGCTCCTGACATTGACCAGATGCACGTGGTGGACCACGTGAAAGGGCAGCCCACTCAGGAGAAGCGCAATGTGCTGGTTGAAAGTGCCAGGATAGCCCGAGGCAACATCAAGGACCTAGCCAAGCTGGATGTCAAGGGGCTGGATGCCCTCATCATACCAGGTAGGACAGATCCTGCCACCTGCTGAGCTTTGTTTTCACCGGATGCAGAACCAGCCTCTCCTTCCCCAGGATGTTAGCTCCTTATCAGGAGCGTGCAGTTCAGTGGGGATCAGTTAGGCCTGGAGCAAGGATTAAGAGACAAGTGAGAACTTGTCAGCATGTTCCATCCTAATTCAGAAAAGAATTCATGGGTGAAACACAGCACCCTTCAGAGCACTGGTCTCTGCTTCAGTCCTGGAGGGAAGCAAGGAAGGTGCTGTGATGTCTCATCTCCTGGCAGCCAGCTCACAAACATTCAGCTTGTCTGGTTTTAATTCCTTTATCACACTGGGCAAGTGCTGCCATGCACCCAGTTCATTTTAGCATCCTACCAAGTCATACCTGGAAAAATCCTGCCCTGGAGTATGTATCTTCCAGTCTAATCTGTTTCTCTTCTCTCAGGTGGCTTTGGAGTGGCTAAAAACCTGAGTACTTGGGCTACCCAAGGCAAGAACTGTGTCATCTCCAAAGCAGTGGAGGATGTCCTGAAGGCATTCCACGCTGCCAAGAAGCCCATTGGCCTGTGCTGCATTTCCCCAGTGCTGGCAGCCAAGATCTTCCCAGGCTGTGAGCTGACTGTGGGTCATGACACAGAGTGTGAGAAGTGAGTAACCTCAGTGTGCCCAGAGGAAATCCTACCAGGAATGTTGTGGAATCAGCAATGCCCCCTGGTGTATGTAGCACCCTGTCCCAGCTATCCCGCCTGGATAGCTGAATGTTATTTCTGAGAATGAATGATCCATGTCCTGCATTAACCTGGCTGATAAACTAAATACTCAGAGCTTTTAGTGTCCCCTTTGTAATTTACATGTTCCTCATGTTAAAATTAGAAATCTGATTTTATTTGTACAGTTTTCTGCAATGGGGCTGTTTTAGCATGTAGGGTACAAGAGACTGCAAGAATCATAAAGGCATAAATGAGAGTCTGAGTCAGGACAACGTTAGATTTCTGGACAGGAGAAATCTGTCCTCCCCTTTACTAAGAGTAGGGAGGGAGGATACCAGAGGGATCAGTGGAACAAAGAGAAGTGACAGGAGGGAGCTTGTTTCCCTCCGACACATGGCAAAATCCACCCTTCAGTTACGCTCTTACTTCGACAGATGCCACTTCAAAGACAAACTGCCATAGCTGCTGCCTCTGGAGTGAAGCATTTAGTAACCAGGGCCCTTGGGAAGACTTAACAGTTAGAAGTTGAAACCTTTCAAGTACGTGGGAGAATCGTTTTGTTATGTCACTGTAATGTGGAGGTTTTCCTGGTTCTATAGTCCTAGAGAAACTCCTCTGACAGGAAAACATTTGGATCCTATTGAGCTGGCTTTCTGTAGGGACCATCCATCTCCCTGTAATCATCAGACTTTTCACTCTGGGCCTTCATCAGTCACTCTGTGTAATGACAACTTCCCACCCAGGGTTCATTCTCTTTTCTTCTTGTAGATGGCCTTACGCCAAGACTGCAGAGACCATGAAGGAACTTGGTTGTAAGCATGTGAACAAACACGTCACCGAAATTCATGTGGATGTGAAGAACAAGCTGGTGACCACCAGCGCCTTCATGTGCAACGCCCCCATCCATGACATCTACGATGGCATTGGAAAAATGGTCAAAGAAGTGGTCAGACTTGCCTGAATGCCACAAAGCCACAGAACCCATCTCCTCTGGAGGGCAGGCACGGAGCCTCGGATAACGTTCTTCCCCTTTCACATCCACATCTCAGCAGGCAAACTGCTGCTCAAACAGAGTTCTTCCCCCCAACCCCCCACTGGAGCACTGGTGCTGCTGAGGAGGCAGAACTCCAGAGGAATATAAGTACTGTCGTGTTCTGCCAAGGACAGAGCCCTTAGTGACAGCAAACTGGCAGGAACTGGAGTGTGGGCACACATGGAGCTGCTGTGCAGAAGCCAGGCCTCCATGGGGCTCAAATACAGCCACCAACTTGGTTTGGAGTGGCTGAGGATGTGTCAACAGCAATAGTCCCTGTCTGAGACTCCTCACACATCCATCTTTGCCAGCACTGCAAGGCTCCCCCACACCTGCACCTCACAGATGAATTAGTAGCAAAAGGCAGGAATGTGGTTGTGCTACTGAATAAAAGCTGACACTTTACACAGACTGAATTCTGCTTCATTTTTGCCTTTTACTCAGGATTAGGACATGCTCTATGTGCTACTGGTTGACCAATGAGTGGGAAAATGATACAGGAGGAAGTCACCAGCAGGAAAACCCCACTTTTTTTGCTGGGATTTTTTAGAACCCAGACTTGGGCATGAACGTAATATTGGTGAAAGCAGAATCAAACCAATGTTAGCATCCAGGTCAGAGGGGAAGAGGTAAAATTCTTCTCTTGTGTTAGCAAAATCATGGAATCCTGGGTTGGTAGAGACCTCAAGGGCCACCTGGTCCAACCTTTGTAGGTTAATGTTATCCTGGTGTGCTCATGAAAATGTGACAGAGGAAATTCACAATCAGGGTAGGAAAGTGGGTGAGAGTTTCGGGACAACTTCACCTCCTAAAAGCTCACTGTGGCCAGAGGTTCTCAATCCTGGCCAGGTTTTCTTCTCCAGAGCCCAGAGACATGTAAAGGTAGTTAGGTATTAGGCAGAAGCTCTTCCCTGTGAGGGTGCTGAGGTGCTGGCACAGGGTGCCCAGAGGAGCTGTGGCTGCCCCATCCCTGGCAGTGTTCAAGGCCAGGTTGGACACAGGGGCTTGGAGCAACCTGCTCTAGTGGAAGGTGTCCCTGCCCGGGGCAGGGGTTGGAACTGGATGAGCTTTAAGGTCCCTTCGACCCAGTTTGGGATTCTATGAAAGAAGTAATGAAGCTAGGTTGGAACTGGAGGAGATTTAAGGTCCCTTCGACCCAGTCTGGGATTCTATGAAAGAAGCAATGAAGCTGTGTGGGGGTTCATGAGGGAAAATGAGGGCAAGCAAAGAGTCAACTGTTCCTCTGTCAGCAGATGAGAGGGCCTGTGGTGCCATTTGGGTGCTTCCTTCCACAACTCTGATGGCTTAAAATAAGACACTTCATTTTAAATACAATCTCATATTTGAAGCCACTGAGGATTCCTGAAAACATCCAGAGCTTGCAGCAGCAGCGCTGGCCACTTTCCTTTTGCAAGGAGATTTCTCTAAAGGTGGGTACTGAGCAGCAGTACAGTAAGCTGCAGCAGTCTATTTACTTATTTATATTTAAAGAACATACTAAAAAGGGGGGAGAGGATAATTACTGTAAAACAGAGTATAAAGAGCTGATCCCTGCAAATATGTCATATAAACAGTTCACTGCAGCTGGGCCCAAATCAAGGCATTGAATTAAACCCATCAACTGCTGAATAATAGCTTTGCACTATCAAGTTTTGAGTCCTCTCTTTGCCAAACCATAGTCGTTTGACACATGGGTTTTGGTCAGAGAAAGGTCTGAACACTGGCACTGACAAATGTGATTTATACACAGAGTGTAAAGGTCCTATGAGCACTAAGAAGCAGCCACATTGTTACATGTAAACAGGTTTGCAAACTGCTCACAAATACCAGTGTAAGATCATTCACTTCAAGAAGAACACTAACCTGTATTTTCTGCTGTCTCAAAAGAAATAAAAGGGTGCAAAAAAGTGAGGCACCTATTAAACGTTTACACACATGTGCAAAACAGAAGTGAAACTTTCAGTAAAGGCTGGTCTTGTTCATGATGCTCAGGAATTCCTGCTCGTTCACTTGCCCATCCCTGTCTCTGTCCGCTACATCGATCATTTCCTGGAAGACAGTTGTGTTCAGGAATCAGAGGCAAATTAGACTGAATTAGAATTATCACATTAATTCAGAATTAGAACCACTTTTTAGTACATTGCATTGGAAGGGACAATGTTAGATCAACGTCAGACCTGCTATGCCACAAAATGGTTATTTCTTCCTAAGAGCTCATCTCAGTCTCCTCTCTGGCAGGTTAAAGCCATTCCCCTTGTCCTGTCCCTCCATCCCTTGTCCAAAGCCCCTCTCCAGGTTTCCTGGAGCCCCTTTAGGCACTGGAGCTGCTCTAAGGTCTCCCCTTCAGGAGCCTTCTCTTCTGCAGCTGCCCCAGCCCCGCTCTCTCAGCGTGGCTCCAGAGCAGAGCTGCTCCAGCCCCTGGGAAGATCTTCAATCCCTGCCTGATGGGGGCTCTTCCATTTCTGCCAGGACAGGCAGATTTTCCTAACAATTCCACTAAAGGACAGCAGCTAAACCCCAGTGGCTGCTGCCTCTGCCTCAAGCTGACCCTGGGCTTCCTTCCCCCACCAAGGTAATTCCCACTCAAACAAACCTGCAGCTCCTCATCCGTGAGATTCTCGCCCAGTTCTCTGGAGACACGTTTGAGGTTTTTGAAAGAGATTTTGCCAGTTTCATCGTCATCAAAGAGTTTGAAGACTTTGAGAATCTCCTCTTTGGAATCTTTTTCAACCTTAAAGAAGGAAGAATAAGTTTAAGGGGAAAAAAGTAGCGGTTATGTGGTAGGTAACACTTGATATTAAGTTATTAAGACAAGCATTAGACTAAGAAGCTCTCTGAAGAGCAAATTTAACCAAGCCAGATGTCTCTGGGATTTCAGAAATGGGACCTTCTATTGTTAAATATCTGGTTTTACTCAGTATGTTTCAAGATTTCTGAAACCAGAGATTTCACCTGTAATATACCCTAAAGCTCAAGAAAAGACAGCACAGCGCATTGCTACGCAACCATCCCTGTCACGTGGTGATACCCCCAACAGCTTTCTGCAGGCCAGAGCTGGTTTAAATCTGTGATAAAAATCTTGACTTTGGGTTTTCCCTTTTCTCACACACACACAAAAACCCAACTGGTAAAGAAACTTGTTCATGACACCATCATTTCAACCTTGCCCGGAAAAACGAGACAGGGAAACTGTCTTGCAATTCTAATTTTTGGCTATGCTGTTGTTAAGGTTAAATAGTGCTTTCATCTCCCACTAAAACCAGAGGAAAGTGCTCAGCCACTTTCAGAAGTGCTTTTCAAAGTCACGTACCATTTTCTGTGTTATCACTCTGAAGAAGCCACTGAAGCTGATCTTTCCTGTTCCTTCCTTATCGATATCTGATACCATTTTCTTGATCTCTTCTCTTCTAGGTTCATACCCAAGTGCTCTCATGGCCACCTGCAAGGACAAAAACCAATTATAAATCATAGAAAACTCTAAACAGAACCACAGGAAGGGGGAAGGTTGAACTTTATGCGAGATCATGTTGTATCACAAGTCCTGTGTCTCCAGAAAAAAAGCATCTCCCACCCCCAGCTCAGAATTGGTGAGACTCTGGAGGACAAAGCACTGCAACAGAGCCTTGGAGAAGTGTTTTCTCTGATAAAATGCGGATTTCTTTGTCTAAAAGGAGCCTATTTTGGTAAGTCCTTTGTAAAATTCTTGTGATGGGCACTCAGAGAGCGCCACTGCCATTCATAGTTTGAAGGAAAAATCCCAAACTGTCACTCAGGGCTGTGGAGAGCTATTTCCAAGGCTGCTGGAAAACGGAATGTTATGCCATTCCTGCCAGGAGAATTGCTACCAGTGTTGAGAAACAAGACACTGAGGAATAGTAATAGCGACAATAAGGCTTATTTCAGGGCCTGTTGTAATCAAGGTAGCAAATGGGAGACCCAGAAGTGTCTCAACAAAATAACTTCAAGCCAAGTGACACCATGAAAGAAGCTTCTATCACACCTGCAGCTCTGCTGGACTCTAACAAATGGATCTGATGGCACAAACACGGAGGGTCTGAAGCTGGGAGACCTCAGGGAACTTCAATCAGTTGATTTTTTATTCTAGTGACCAAAACCTTTTCCAGGGAATGAAACACGGTTCAAACATTCTGTGTGCCTTTGACACCAGCCCCACAAGCAGAGCACCCGAGGATGCCTTCACTCGCAGCCCCATGCACACCTACAGGAGCTTGAGCTCCTCTGATATAGGGACACGTGGCAAGTCTGGAATCAGTTCTCCTCCCTGTGGTCTTAAGTACATGGACATCCAGCTACAAAGAGGAAGGGCCAATTCTGGAAGAAAATAAGTCCTGATTTACTGGTTACTTTTCTTCCAACAGGACAGGGGTGGGGAGGGACTGAAACTGTTTTGCAATAAATAAAAGCATGAAATCTTATCGTATCCTGGGCTGCATCAAAAGAAGCCTGAGCAGTAGGTCAAAGGAGGTGATCCTGCCCCTCTACTCTGCTCTTGTGAGACCTCACTTGGAGTATTGTGTCCAGTTCTGGTGTCCTCAACATAAAAAGGACATGGAGCTGTTGGAGCAAGTCCAGAGGAGGGCCACGAGGATGATAAGAGGGCTGGAGCACCTCCCGTATGAAGACAGGCTGAGAAAGTTGGGGCTGTTCAGCCTGGAGAAGAGAAGGCTGCGGGGAGACCTCATAGCAGCCTTCCAATATCTGAAGGGGGCCTACCAGGATGCTGGGGAGGGACTCTTCATTAGGGACTGGAGTGGTAGGACAAGGGGGAATGGGTTTAAACTTAAACAGGGGAAGTTTAGGTTAGATCTAAGGCAGAAGTTCTTCACAGTGAGCGTGCTGAGGCACTTGAATGTGTTGCCCACGGAAGTTGTCAATGCTCCAACCCTGGCGGTGTTCAAGGCCAGGCTGGACAGAGCCTTGGGCAACATAGTTTAGTGTGTGGTGTCCCTGCTCATGGCAGGGGGCTTGGAACTAGATGATCTTAAGGTCCTTTCCAACCCTAACTATTCTATGATGCTATGAAATCAAATCCCATTGGTGTGCTCCATAGCTCAGATAACCTCGTTTACAAACATGCACTCCTCAGCAACACACGTGCAGGGAAACCCCACCTTTTGAGTATGCACAACCCCTTTTTGATGTTTGAGTAACACGGTACAGAAATACAGAACTATCCATGTTCTCTGGCCAGCCCGGCCCTGGAGACACGTGGTAGCAGCAGGACAGAGCTAGAATGAAAGAGCCGGATGCGCC